CGTAAGCGTTACAATACTATACGTTGTGGCTGATGAAGTGTTTGGGACTTTTGGAGCCACTGTCAATAAACGGGAATATCCTGTCATCCTGACAATCTAAAAGCCATAAAAATCAACAAAGAGCTGAATCATCATGTTCTTTCTCTCTCTGATTAGTGCCCAGTCGTTTAATAGCCTTTATCCTTACTAAGGCAATGCACCAGTTGTTGGAGAAACACAAATTTTGACCTACTGTAAATATCATGTTTGAATTTGGTACTGCCCTCACTTCTACACACCTCTACTTATTAAAAGTGTAAGCTGCCCATCATTCCTGCAAGTCTGCTCAATACTTTACTTTCAAGTGAAATGTTTTTTTTTAAATGGATTTCAAAGCAAGAACGTTGCATTGTCCTATGATCTTCTCAGGCAATGTGAGTAAAGGGGACAAAGTTAGTGGGGGACAGAGACAGGAGCTTCAATATCCTGCAAAGACAAATGCTCGTTTCTAGAAATGGCAAGAATAAAAAAATATAAAAATACTAAGAAATGTTTTCTTTTTTACAGTGGTTTGTTATACAAATTTTGACTACTCCTCCTAGTGGGATTCTCCATAGTTAAAGCACAAGATCCCACTGTGTCCAGAATATTTTACCCAATTCTACCAGTAATCCATCAACCCTGGAACTTTTCCATTGTTGAGTTGCTCCACAGCCAGTCCCTGAAAAGAAATTTGTGACTCAGAGCTCCTTAACCTTTTCCAGTGGAACAAGTTGCAAGGAGGCAAATAACATTCTGGTACACAAGTACAGTTCACATTATATTTCACAGGCTTATTTTCAGATTCGCCAGACAAAAAAGGAGAGACTAAAATCAATCTTGGTAACAGATTTAGTCAAAAGGAGGTAACAAAATAGAAAGATACCCAGCACCTGGTTTTAGCTATTAAACGATGACCGCTCATCAAACAGTCCAAAGAAGTGTTCAATTGGCCTCCTTATCTACGTGGTTTCCTCATCGTTTGGACATTACT